GTGATAACCACAGCTGAGTCAAGATCTCATCAGTAGCTGCTGTTGTAAGACTACCTGGTTTTTGAAACTTGATGCCAAGGGAGAGAATGAATTAGTGGACCAGGGATGAGACAAAAGAGTGCCACAGAGAGAAGACAGAAGGGAAGATGAAAAGAACCAACATGCTTTGAGGAAGGAAAAGGTCTAAGGAACTACCTTCATTAGCATTAAATTGAAAGAGCAAATTGAAGGGAGTTGTATTTAAGGTAAAGGAAATGATTTTGTGTGAGAAGTACTTATGGCTGAGGGCCTTTATCTAGTTGGAGAACAGAGATGAGTAAATTCAGTACTATTATTTCAGTAATTCAGATTGATGTTTTTAGGGTTCAGTTGTCCTGGACTGCTTCTTTTCCTAATCAACCCAAAGCAAGTAATTTTCTTGCTGGGGTTAAATCACTGTTCCATCTTGTCTGGCAGTGTGGCCTTTCTGCCAGAAAAATCAGAAAGCTTCTCCAAAATGAAGAATTCTCTCTTAATCCCATCAAATCAGATTTTGCAAGGTGAGCTCTGCCTTGAAACAGGAAGTTTTGTTACTGCAGGGAGCTTGAGCTTTCTAGCCATGTCCACTGCTCTCCTTTCAGGTATGAAAATTCCATGCTCTTGCTTTAGGCATTAATGGATAAGCTGTCAAGCCTCTACTTTTACCAAAGTGCTTTTTTTGCAAAGGGACTATGTGTAGTTTTGCACCTTCTGATCATGTGACTTCTCTAACCCTGTTAATTGCTCCGGTCCTCCTGTGACCAGGAGAACCCAAGTAGCCTATAATCTCTTCTTTTTTGCTTTAGTTTCTGGAGAGTGAAGAAGAAGTGGATGTTTACATTGATACAGATGAGGAGTTTTGTAATGGACGAGTCACAATCTTCAATGGCTCAGGGCCACCATATTTTCACAGTTACCTCTACATGAAAGGTAAGTGGATTTTGCCAAAACCATGGATAGATGGGATCCAGGAAACCTGCTTTCCTCTTGTGTTTCTCCAGAATCATCATCTTTATTTGTTCTTAGTTCTCATTTTATTCTCCCTTTTTTTTTTCTTATTTTATTTCAAGCAACAAATAAAGAGATAGGAGCTGGGTGTCAGGGATATCTTTGCCACTGATACTTAATTGTGCCTACTTGGTATGGGCTTAAATGATTCATTCTCAGCTATGAAACTGAACTCAGAACAAAAATACTTGAGTAGTGCATCTATTTCTATATTTTATTTTTGTTTCACTAGTTTGGTTCTGCTTTTCCTATGTTTGAAAATAGGCACAACTTTGTTTCTCTCCTTCCGTTCCTTTGTTTGATGTAGGAACTGAAGTGGCAACTGTTCCTGCCCAGGATCAGTTGGCAGGATCAGAATGAAAGCCTGGCCCCTGTTGCATGGCTGCTGAAATTTTGCTCCCTCGCTTTTGCAGGAGGACTCATGAACCCGTGGCGGCGGCGCTGGTGTGTCCTGAAGAACGAGGCCTTCATGTGGTTCCGCACCAAGCAGGAGGCCCTGAAGTCGGGCTGGCTCTACAAAAAGGGCGGAGGAATGTCGACGCTTTCGCGCCGCAACTGGAAACGCCGCTGGTTTGTGCTTCGAGAGTCCAAGCTGATGTACTTCGAGAATGATAGTGAGGAAAAGCTGAAGGGGACTATTGATATCAGAAGGGCAAAGTGAGTGTGAAAATAAATCCCTTTGATCTGTAGTACTCACTCTCTAAATCAGTAATGAAGGGTCCAGCGCTGCTGTTCATTGGCCTGTGTATCTCCCGTGGTGCTTGGAGAATCAGAAACAAAGGAAGGAAAAGACATTCACAGCATCTAGTTTTACTCTGGAGGGAGTCTGCAATTACTTGATAGTCCTTTTCCCAGTCTTGCATTTCATAATCCAGCAGAAGCTCTTTCCAAGCCATGGATGGAGCCAGACCAGGAGGGGCTAATTAAGTACATACCCCATGCATTCTCTCCTACCCAGACTCCATCTGTTTTCTGGCTTCTCCAAGCATTTCACAGAGGTATTATGAAGCTCACAGCAGGATTTGAATTTGGCAGCATGTACTGTGCCTTTTCCTGAGTCCTGAATGCTTTTTCTGCTGCCATAGTCAATTCCTCAGCTCCCACTTTAAGAAAGGACAGACTGGTCACCTATTAGCATTATGCAGACCTGTAAAGTGCCAAAAAGAACGGTGCACCTGACTTCTAAACAGATCTCTATATCAGCCTCCCTGTTACCTCTTCTTCCATTTAGCCTGCTGGTGTCTTGAAAATTCATGTAGTGCCCTAAAGATTTGGGTTTTAACTGTATAGATATTTTTTAAACATTTTGATATGTATTGGCAGAATTTCGTATTTCTGTCAGAGTTACCAACCATCTGAACCAGTGATTTCCCTTCTCTGTGGTGAAGGGTATGATGTGAAAGAATTGACCAGATGGAATTCAGGCCTGTGAAAGGCTTTTGAGAGCTTTGGCACTTGTGCTTTCTTGTGTTCCAGAGAGATTGTGGATATTCATGAAAAGGAGAATGCCTTGGACATTGTGACAGAAGACCGAGTTTACCACATCGTTGCAGAGTCACCAGAAGATGCCAGGTACAACAGGGAGTTTTGTTAGGTGTGTTCATTCAGTGCAGGTGTGACCCAGCTACTCATGGGAGAGTTTGAGAAACATAATCAACTCCCTTTTGCTGGAGAAAAGGGGGGATTTGTTCCCAAGTGTCATTTTGTGCTTCCTGGGATGCATCACATCTACTTTGGGGACTTGATGATACAGCTAGCAAGATTGTGGTTCGGTCTGCCAGTCACAGGACTGCCAGCTTCTCATGTGGCTGTGAGCATGCTGAATTCAAGGGTTACTTCGGCAGACACACAAACCTTAATATAAACTGGAACATATAATAGCTGATTTATTTGTTTAATGGAGTCTTGAATCAAACAAAAAGTCTATTCATGTTGTCTGTAAATGATTGCGAGAGCAGCTGGGTTTTATCCAGGAGACAGAAAAAAGGCTACAGCTTATCAGAGTCTGTAGTGTCATCTGATAAAATCTTCCCAGTGCAAAGCAAACAAGTGACTCATGTCCTTCCTTCTTGGCATCCTGGCCAGACAGTGGGAATCAGTTATTTAAGGGCAGGTTGGACAACCTGTCCTGGCTATGCAAAGCCAAGAAGTTACTGTCTCCAGCCACTCATGTCTTCCCACTTTTACCAAGGCTTCTGCTCTCTCAGCCCTATTAGTGTAACTGTTCCTCTGATCTACTGATTCTGTGATATTATTTATGGTATATTATTATTTTGGTAAATGGAGAGAAAGGAGGAAGGTGTGTGGATACAATTTAACAGAAATAGATTGAAGAACAGCCATATGGACTAGAGAGGGGCAAATTTAGGGAGCAGTAGTGGAAGGAATAGTAACTAATTAACCCAGAACTTCCACAACTGCAGTAGGCATGCCCTAAGATTTAACACTGCAGAATTGTTAGGATGAGTATAAGCCAAATGCAGCCTCTGTCTCTGCCCTATCAGTCTCTGTTCTGAGGGAGAAGAAAGCCCCAGCACTTGCAGTAGCAAAGGACAGATGAGCAGATGCTGCAGAGTATCCAGTTTGAGAATCCTCCACGAAGTATGGTTGTTTGCTGCTCTCACTGGAAGCTGCAGATAAGAATCTGCTTTTCTGCAACAGCAATTAGCCTCCAGATATGTCTGTAAGAGAAGCCCTTTCACAGACAAAAAACTTCACTCCAAATTCAATTGTAAACAAACCCATGATTAATTGCCAGCCATATGACTTTCAAGTTTATTAGCAGATCAGAGAGAGTTTGATCAAGAAGGCTCCCAGGCGTCTCTAAGACTCTAGCCCAGGAAGATTCCCAACTAACTCTGTTTAGACAAGTGCTGTATGCCCTTCTCAGTCTGCTGACATGGGCTACCTGTAAAGCCACTGTCTACTTAGAGTTCCTTGAATAACAAGTGGAAAACTGGATTTTGCAGGAGCAACTGTCAGTGGGTTGAGGAACGTGCACAGAATTTTCATGGATAAATAAGGAGGAAGGAAGACATTGGAATCTGGTATGATCAGCCCAAGAGATATTTTGTGACATAGTATTCAGGAAATTGTGAATGAAGAAATTTTCCCAGTGGCATCTTTCCAGGTTCCTTGGTCATGTTCTTGAGCCAGTTTCACTACAGAAAGTTTAACTCTGCTTCTGTTTTGATTGGCAGTGGTTGGTTTAATGTCCTGAGCCGAGTTCACAGCGCTACAGCACAGCAGCTGAGGGAAATGCAGGATGAACAGGCCAATCCAAAGAATGCTGTGGTGAGTTACTATGCAACCAGCCTGTGGGCATGCTTGGAGCCCTCTGTGTTTAACTATTTGTGCATGTTTTTCCAGCACATGCCATGCTGTACTGAAGCAGTGTAAGAAAGTTGGACATTGGTGATTATAAAGAAACAGCAAAGCTGGTAGCAAAGAGGGCAAGCAGTGAGGAGCATGGTGCTTGTTGTGGGTTGCTCAGCTTGATCACACATAGCTCTTTTTGGCTGGAGGAGAAGTGGGAGGCTGCCTTACGCAGATAATTTTTTTTTGGCTGGGACTAGTCTGGGTCACAGTTATTCCAGACAGAAGATAGCAGTTGGGAAGAATGGTGTATTTATGTATTTTACCAGTACAGAGATAATAGCTAAGGTTATTTCAGACCTTCATAACACTCTCTGGAAACTTGTAACTGTTTTTCATCTAGTCCTGTGGAGCCCCTTGCACATCTTATGTTGTTTGGGAGCAAAGATGACTCACTTGCGCCTTTCTCGTGTGTTCATTTCTACTCAAGCTCTTGGAATTCAGAGGAATGGTTTCAATTTCAGTCTGTTCACAGAGAACACCCATAATTTAACATGCAATCTGTGTCTTCTTCACTCTACAGGGAACCCTGGATGTTGGGCTTATTGACTCTGTCTGTGCCTCAGACAATCCTGATAGGTAGGTACAGCAATCTGATCATCTCTTAAATCAGAAACTCCCTACAACATTTTTGTGGGTAGGTCCTTTGGGGTTTGTATTTGTTTAAACTCATGCATCTTTTTCTCCAAAAAAAATAAACATAGCTGAAATCTCTAGCTTGTTTCAAACGGTGTCACTTCATAGGCATGAAGTCCATATATGTATTGTCTTTGAGTTTTTCCTTCAGCTCCTAAAAATGAAAACAGCATAGTTTCAATGCCAGAAAATTATCATTTTATCTATTACCAGCACTGAACAACTATGTCCAGCAAAAGCAGCACTTTCATCAGAGTTATTTTGAGTTAATCTTGTAAATTTAGGGGAAAGAAACAGCATTGTGGAAGAATAATGGATGAATTTAGAAATCTGAATTATTCTTGATATCTCTGCAATGCAACAGAGCACAGACCTTTAGTTAGTTAGTTTCAGAGAAGAGATAATGGGACATTTCCTATCACTTTATGTTAACATTTAATTTTTTCCCACATATTAACAGGTTCAGCCAGGGCAAAGATAGTCACCAGAGTGCTAAAGTAAAATGTTAGCTATTAAGTTATTTATCTCTGTGGTCTGGGGACAGAGCTCTAGGCTCTGCCACAGGTTGCTAAGACTTTGTTTTTAGTTGTTTACAAAATGCATTTCAGAAGTGAACTAAGATTTAATTGATGTAAACATTTCAGGCTGTTCTCAGCCTGTACTCCTCATAATTGATCTGTGAACCAGTGAAAACCAGGAACAAATAGCTGAATAGTTAAAATTTGTTTATGTATGTGCTGAGGTATGCTTTTCTTGAATATCAGTGTTTGGAGCAATGTTAAACAAAATCTGGGGAGAATGCTTATTCTCAACCAACATTTTTATGCAGCTTATTTTTATCTTCCATAGGTTTATGCATTTTTCTAACTGATCTTGATTGCACCTTTTGCTTCATACTTGCACTCTACTTTTCAATTTCTCTGTTTTCTCATGGAAATCTGGTTTTGCTTTCAAAGTTTTCTGAGTCTATCCTGTTGGAACTGGTCATACTTCTGTTTTTCTATTTTCATGTAAAGCATCAATTCTGTACATAATTGTGAATATTCTTTTGGTAAGATACAGTTGCAAGAGAGGAACTGAGTCATCCAGGAGCAACACAACCATTTTTCCTCTGTTTTGTCAGGATCAGCTCATCCTTTCTAAAACCAATCTCAAACATGTTTTAGCTCATCCTACTGAGACCTGTGTTAGCTATTGCATCACTGGTTTTAATAAGTACAAGGGAAAGAGCTGTAGCAGCTCAGCCCAGTGGTAAAAGCACTGGCTCATTCCAATCTGTCGGAGTCCCTTGCTAATAAACCAAGGACATCTTGCAGCTGCTTATTAGCTAACAAATATTTTCTAGTCTTTGGAAGTATCTCTTAAAAGATACTTAATTTCATTTAGCTGGTCTCTGCATTCATCAGTTGACAGAGGAACTGAACAAGAGATGGTCTTAAGTATTTCTGCACTCCTCTGTAGTTTGTATTCAGAAAGTCTCTCTGTTTATGGGAAGGTAAAAAACATGACTTTGAGTGTGCTGTGAGCTATTTGCATGGTTATGACTAATTTTAATGCTTTTGTTTTCTGGCAGACCGAATTCCTTCGTGATCATCACAGCCAATCGTGTGATTCACTGCAACAGTGACACTCCTGAGGAAATGCATCACTGGATCTCCCTGCTGCAGAAACCCAAAGGCGAATCCAAGGTCGATGGCCAGGAATTCCTTGTGAGAGGTGAAAGGAAATGCATGCAATTACATGTGAAAATCATCTTCTCCTTATAATCTGACAGGGAGACTTGATTGTTGCTAACTCAGTCTAGGGTTTAGCTGCTCCCCAAAAACTGTCATTCTCTGCTCCCTCTCTACCTTCCTGCCTGCTGCTTGCCATGTCACATGTGTGCTAGCCCTGGCTCTTACCTGATTCCTGCCAGGTGGGAAAAAAACAGTGTTTCATATGTTTTATCTTCTGATGATTTCTTTAGCCTGTTAAACATGTCCAGCAAATGCCACCAGGGAATAGGAAGGAGCATGGCTGCTGATGAGGAGCAGCTGGCTTAGATGGACTAAAACATGACACTGTGGCTTTTGTTGGCAGCTCAGTTCCTTCTGACACCTGTCGTGTAGAGAGAGGGGGAGAGAGATCTTTGTGGGATTGCTGCTGTCCTCAGCTAAACTAACTAACCTGATTGTGGTAAACATAGTGAGGTGAGAAAAATTCTCTGAGGTTGAGCAAAATATTTAAATTACATCTTCAGTCAGAGCTTAGTTGAAGATGGCAGAGCCTGAGTATATATACAATATATATTGTAAAATATTCACCCATTTGTCTTAAATATTTTTTAATTTCCTCTATACTTTGAGCTCATCACATGGTCTTAAATGTGAAGACACTCCTGATCCAGTCTGTGGAAAGCAAGTACATGAGCAAATTGCCTTGCATCTTCCAGAAATGTCTGTCAAGGAATAAGGGTCCTGGGGTGGTCATGGCAAGGCAGAAGGACAGGGAGAAAATGGTTCCCAAAATGTGGCAGAAGCCTTCAACCCTAGTCTTAAAAATTTCAGGGAGATTGAATGATACAAAAGAGACTATAAGACAACAGTTTGAGTGCCTTAACTTCAAAATACATAATTGCAAGGCAGCAGTTCCTTTTATCTGGTATTGTTCATTAGTCAAAGAGAAAAGGGAATCATCCTTTGCAGAGTATGCTCTGCTCTTCATAATAAGGTATCTGTGTGACAGCAGAGTAGCCACAAAGCCTAATATTCAGGAAGGTCTGTCTCTATCTTTTCTTTATATGGAGCCTCTTGGTTCAGTCTCATATTTTTTGAACATTTTGCCTTGTGGGTGGACATTGCTTTTTACACCTCTGAGTAGAAAATTATCTTTTTGACAGCTTTATCAATGCAGGCTGTAATTTTTTTCTGTTGAAGTATTGAATTTTCTCAATTTTTTTTCCCCCCCTTTATTTTGCGACAGATCTAAGATGACAGTGAAATTATTTGCCCTGATCATGGGAGCAAGAGGCGCACGAAATGACATGTTTGTGTTTCTGTGCTAGGCTGGCTTCATAAGGAGGTTCAGAGCAGCAACAAGATGTCCTCTCTGAAGATGAAGAAGCGCTGGTTTGTTCTGACAAACACTGCCCTCGACTACTACAAGTCATCGGAGCGCACGGCTGCCAAGCTCGGCACGCTCGTGCTCAACAGCCTCTGCTCTGTAGTGCAGCCCGACGAGAGGGTCTTCAAAGACACAGGTGAGAGGGGGAAAGTGGCAAAGAGCAGACTCTGGATGTGCAGCTGCTGAAGAGGAAACTGTGCAGGACTATTGTGGTGTGTCATATTGAGAAGGCTGTCTTGAGGCTTTGTGTCTGGCTGCAAACAGCTCTGCCCATGGAAAGTGTACTCTTTGTGCAAGTGACTGTAAGTGCCTCACACCTGATGGAGATATGCAGTGCTGATGTTTGTCACTGAGTAGAGTCACTGCTTATCTCAGTGTTCCCCAAGCAGGGTAACAGGTGTGAGTTCCTGTAGTTGACACTAATTATTGGTACATCTCCAGAACTGTCCCTTTGTGGTGTGACCTACATTTGTCTCTGGGGTCAGAGTTAACCTCTTAAACAGCAGCCAACCCATACACTGTAAGGGATGTACTGTGCATGTCTTATGGCATCATTCAGCTTGATGGAAACAAAAGATGACAAAGGCCTGTGTGTGCTTTTTGTGCAACATGACAGTTCTGGGAAGGCAGGATCTAGCATGATCCTTCATTGCTTGCCTTAGGAGTTTGGAAGGGAACCCAGGTTATGGGATAAAGGGTGAAGTCTGTGAACCTTAGAAAAAGACTTGAAAAATAGGACATTTGAGTCCTAGAGTTTGGGACACATTTTAAAAGGGCTGGAAGCTGTAAGTATTTAGTAAAGAGAGATGAGAGGAAATTTATTCTGCTTATTCACAAGAAAGTGTCCACATTTTTAGTATCAACAGATGTCTAGGGCTGCCTTTAGCAGATAGAATTACCATCACCTTGACAGGTTCTCTCAGGTTGTCAAACACATTTTTAAGAGTTCTGAGAGTAGACTTGGCAATCTAACTGGGTGCTGTGTGTAGAGTGGTCATTTTCCAAGTGATTAACAGGACAGTGTAGTCCAAATGCTGTCTGTGAAAGTGAGCTGCCCAGTTGGCAGGCAAGTAAGTCAGGTTACACTGCAAGATACTTGCATCTTGGAAAGCTTCTTTGTACCAAACTCTGGACTGGAACCTTCCTGTTGATAAATCTGTTTTGGGAATGGGGATGTTAATGTCTACCTAGTGGATTTTAACCAGACACACCATATGTTGCTATGAAAGCAGCAAGGGTTTCCAAGACCCAGAAGCAAAATGAGAATCTAGTCCACCACTAAGCCATGTCCCTAAAGTGCCACATCTGCACATTTTTAAAATGCCTCCAGGATGGTGATACAGCTACTTTCCTGGACAGTCTTTTGACAGCCCTTTCCTCTTGTCCTATCACTTGTTACTTGGCAGAAGGGACAGACCCCCACCTGGTTACATCCTCCTTTCAGATAGCTGTAGATAATAATAAGGTCCCCAATGAGGCTTATTTTCTCCGAGCTAAACACCCCCAGCTCCCTCAGCCACACCTCACAGGACTTGTGCTCCTGATCCTTCCCCAGCTCCATTGCTCTCCTTTGACACCCAAGATGATTTGCTCCATAACCTTCCCCAGTACTGAGGCTGGACTGATGGACCTGTAGCTCCCCAGAGGCTCCTTCTGGCCCTTTCTGTAGTTGGATGTCACATTTGCTAACCTCCAGTCAACTGCATAATACAGAGGCCAGTTTCACCTTCCAGCTTTGTTTCCACCTTTGTTTCTGCACAGGCTACTGGAACATCATAGTCCATGGGCGGAAGCACTCCTACAGACTGTACACGAAGCTGCTGAATGAAGCCATGCGCTGGGCCTCTGCCATTCAGGGTGTCATTGACACCAAAGTTCCCATAGAAACACCTACACAGCAGCTCATCCGTGACATCAGGGTAGGTGGCATCCTGCTAATTCCCACCGGAGCTAGGAGCAGCCAGACCACCACTGGCCTAACCCAGTCATTGCTGAGAATGTGGCAAAAAATGGGGTTGCTCTCTTTAGGGGAAAATCAAAAAGAGTAAAAAAAGAAACATACACAACTGTGCAACAAAAAACCCTCAAATATTGCATGAATTTTATTTTGTTAACTGATCTGCATAAGTCTAGACTACTATTCTGTGCAATTAAAAATTGCATGAAGGATTACACCATCAAGTATTTGCATGTCTCTGCTCCATACTTTCCACTCTTAAGCATCCTCCAGATGCAAATACAAAAAAATCCATTCCTACCAGTCATCTGACTTTGATGTAACATGAAGTTCTGTTCATACCTTAGGCTTGTGTGATTAAATGTCAGAGTAAAGGGTGGAAAGACAATATCCTTCAAAATAGCAAAAATTGTACCACAGGAGTAATTTTTGAGAAGAAACTTGCCAGAAACTTCGGCAAATAAACCTAGAATCATTTAAGAAGACACACCAAAGAAAATTTCAGAAGAAATGTGTTTGTGATGAACTCTAAACTTGATGCAATTAGATAGTTAATTGTAGAGAATCTTGGAAAACTTCAGCTCAGGCTTCAAGGACATATGGAACATTATGTATTGTTAGGGAAGGAGTCTAGGACAAAATGCAGAAGAATGTGATCCAGTGTGTATGGTAGTGACAGGCCCAGATTTTAAGCCCTATGGAGCATTTTGGTTGTTTATTCTGTAAACACATACAGTACAACTGGCCAAGTTGAGAACGGGCTCATTATTACACACTGAAAGTGGTTGATCTGTGGTCAGAAAGTCCATTAACCATGTTCTGTTGAAAGCTTGAAGGACATAGGAGAGAGAGGGATTATGCTATATATATTACACAAACCACGCTTGGAGGTGAGATTCTGTGCCTTGGTGACCTGTGGGATGATGCACCATGGCAAGTCTTGCGTTTAATTTCCAGAAATAACATACAGGGTAATTTTTAGATATGGACTATGCTTTGACCACTTAGTCTCCATAGGCACCTCCAGAAATACAGACAAAGGTGGTTGAGCTTGAACCTAAATGTGTTAGGGCATCCTGCAAAGGACTGTGCCTATTTGAGGATAATCATTCTTTTCTTGCTTTTCCAGGAAAACAGCACAAACTTTGAAGTAGTGGAACAGACATATAGGAGGAACCCAATCTTGCGATACACCCAGCACCCCTTGCATTCCCCACTGCTCCCACTTCCCTATGGAGATGTCAGTGTCAACTGTAAGTATTACAGTATATTTTACCCAAGTGACAGAATCAACTCACATTTTGAGGGTCAGTGAGGAGCCTGTGCACCAAAGAATGGACCTGTAAGCTCTCTCTGTGTAGGTGAAGTCTCTTTGGGGCAGTGTAGCCCACAGGGTTTAGGGAGGGAGCAGTCCCTTTCTCTCTCCCTTTGTTCTCTGGAGTGTGTTCCATGTCCACTGCCTCTTACCATGGGAACACTGAATCTTAAAGTAAATGGGGCAGATACTTTTATCATCCATCCAGGGGACATGCAGCCTGTCATTCTTTAGCCACAGTTGGGTTGTGAGTGGCTCCAGTAGAAAATACTACAGCAGGATTACATCATGCAGCTGGCAATGGGGTAGTATTTCTACAGACGTTACTGTAAACCGAGAATAAATTACTACTTTCTTCAAATGTGTCAGAAGCATGAAAGAGCTAGAGTGATGGGCCACCAGAAGACCAAAGTGATTTGCTGATGATTACAGACTGTTTGACATATTAAAGCTGGAAGCTGGTGAAGAACTCTAGAAGAATATCTCATGTGGAGTGACTGAGCCACAGAATCTTTTAAGAAATTTATTTCAATCAAAACATTGTATATAGGAGAAACAGTCTGTCACACAGGTAGTGATCTAGCTGTGCTTAGGAAAGTGAACATCAATTTACACAGCTTTATGAAAATGTCAACTCTTCTGGTGAGTACAGAAAAAAAAACCAGCTAATGTAAGGTTTTGAGAGCTTAGAAAAGGAAAAATACTGTGCAGATGTATATATATCATGCACCTGCATCTTGAGTACAGGATACAGTTTTGCCTTCTTCATCTCATCAAAGATACAGGAGATGTAAAAACCTACCCAAAGATGATCAAAGGCACCAAAGAACTTGCCTACAACTAAGTGACTAAATAGAGAGCAGGATTCTTCAGCCTCAAAATGAAGCTTTTAGGGCCAGAAGACTGTCATGGAGAAAGTGAAAGGATACTAGGTCTGTCACAGTACAAGGAGCCAATTACATGGCAGATTAAGAGCACAGAATCCTGAAATACAGAAAAATTCTGTATTTTTGAAATTCTGAAATACGGAAAAATTACCGAGCAAGCACTTACAGTGTGGAACTTACTTTTAAGAGTTGTCTTTATACAGTTAATACATGGCCACTGGGGAAGCAGAGGCTGTACAGGAGATTCAGAAGGCCCTAAAGCCCCAGAGATGTGCAAAGGAGAATGCAAGCCTGCATCTGAATGGTATCACACGTGTCTGAGCAGTTCAAAAAGCACAAGCTTTGGTCTAAGCATTTTAAATCTAAACAATAGGTATAAGTTGCATTTGTGGTACAGCAATTTGCTTAAGTTCTGTGTTAGCCTGGGGTCAAAGCTAATACAGGCACAACACAGAATATTGGAATTACACAAGCCAGGCTTCAGTGGACACATTCCAGTACCTCGTTTGCAGACACTAAAGCCTGAACTAGATTACAGTGCTCATTTCCCTTAAAAATACTACTCTGCTTTTCTTCACAGTGTATCCTAAAATGTGTTGGGAGTAGTGACAAATCAGATGTTTGCAAATACGAATTAAAACTGCATTTGAATATTTAGAGAGGAAGCATTAATGAACTTACAGTATAAATTTAAGTTTAGGATATGCACTAATGCTCAGGTTGCTGTTCTTCCCTTACAGATGGGCACAGTTGATTGTAGTGCTGGTGGGCCAGTAGAAAATGAGGGAGATGCTCACCTCTTTCACCTTTGTGATTGTTCCCCAGTGCAACAAGAGAAGGGTTACAGCAGCTTACAAGATGAAGCAGTGAAGATCTTTAACTCCCTTCAGGAAATCGAGACAGTGTCTGACCCCATACCCATTATCCAAGGCATCCTGCAGACCTGCCATGATTTAAAGCCCCTCCGTGATGAAGTGTATTGCCAGCTCATCAAGCAAACCAACCACATGCCACATCCCAACAGTACTGGGAACCTGCACCACTGGCAGCTGATGACCTGTATGAGCTGCACTTTCCTCCCCAGCAGAGGGATCCTGCGCTACCTCAAGTTCCACCTCCGAAGGTAAATGTCTCATTTGCAGCTTGTTTCCTTTTACTCTGCGATCTTCCGCTGCCTGTTCTAATTGCCTGTCTTGTCCTCTTGCCGTGCAAACATCTTCCTGTGCTGTTCCAGCCTCCTGCCTTTGCAGGAGGCTGGAACAGTTCTTAGTTCAGTTAACAGTTCTTAGCACCAGCTGTTCTGTGTATTCTGTTGTGTATCTGTTGTGTCAGAAGGATGTGGAATGAATGTAAGTTACCCAAACAAAATACCCTGAGACTGTAGCAGTGCTGATGACCTGCTGCTTCCTAATGTACATATAAAACATTATCAACCTGCAGGAAAGGTGAGGACTGTACTTTCATACTCATGGAAGTATGTACTACCTTGCAGCTGGCACAGGCAAAAAGCATACTATAAAGTAGGAGAGAGACTGTAAATCCACTTTATAATTTTTCAAGATCATGTGCAACTAAGCACATAATGCTTGCAGTTGATATTTTTAATCTGTTTTAACCTCCTATTTCCATGAACTAAGTAATTTACATTTGTTCCCAAGTTCTCAGCATCTGATGCAGCTTTACATAGCAGTCTGCACTGGGCCTGATCTGCAGCTGTGTAACCTTGGCTTATTCTTAATGATGAGAAAGATCAATAAAATCTATTTGATTCCTTCCAAGCTAGGAAAGAGTGAGTGAGATGAGATCTGTGTCAGTACAGACATAGCTATATCCATGGCCTGTGTCTAAGAGATAGAGATACTCCATGTAGGCATTTCATTGTTTTATCACTGGAGTTGGAAAAAATGTTATACTTAAACCTGCTGGTCTTGGAGGGAAGAAAACAGTGTACAGGCATCTGCTTTCTATCTTCTTAATTCTCAAACATACTGTAAAATTGGCTCAAAACCAGCCAGCAAATTAAAAAAAAACAAACAACAAAACCAAACACATTAAGAATAAATGAAAAAAGTTTATATTTGATTTTACAGTTTTTATTCTCAGTTTTGTAAATGGAGATTGTCAATCCTGCTGTCTTCAGCTGTCACTAAACCCCTGAATCTTTGAACTGCTTATTTCATATATTGCTGAGAAATACCACGGCAGTGACTTTCAAATTACTAGTAAAAGAAGATTGTATGATTTAGGAAATGAGCTTGGTTTTTGTGTGGTTGCATTTGACATCAGTATCTCTACCAAACTCTTCACTTGCAGTAGTCTTAATTTTTAGGGTACTGTGTTGTTCACTGTGTAATGTTTTTGTTTTTTTTGTGGGTTTTTTTTTTTTTTTTTGCTTCTCTTTACAATTAGGGTAAAGGATCTCTTTCCAGACTCAGAAATAGACAGGTATGCACAGTTCATCAGTGATTCCCTGAAGAGAACAAAGACAAGGGAGTTTGTGCCCTCCCAGGAGGAAATACAGGCTCTTCTCACCCGTGAGGAAATGACCACAACAGTGTATTGCCATGGTGGTGGCTCCTGCAAAATAACCATCAACTCCCACACCAGCGCTGGGGAGGTAATGCATTAGTAGGATTAACCAGATGTGAGCACATCTGTGTCTGGAGAGTGGTTCTGTTGAAGGGACACCTTTTTCTCCTTTATCCCCTTTATTTCCAAATCTTATTTTTTTTTTTAATTACAAGTTCTTTTGCTATATATTTGGGCAAAGTTCTGCCTATTCTACAAGGCCAGTGCCCAGATTGTAGAGTATCACTTGAAAATTGTGTTGCAAAATCTAAACGCTTCTGGTGTTACGCCCTTTGTCTGAAACTTGATAAACACAATTTTCTGGACAAGAGAGATTCCAATTCATAATGGAATCCTTCTGAGAGGGATATTCTACCAGTAACTTAATCATTAGCAGGTCAGAATCAGGATTCCAGGTTGCAGTAGTCATGTCTGTGAAAACATTAGTGCTAAACAGAGCAAAAAGTGGAATTGTTACTAGAGGAACTGAGAATGTCATCATGACATCTGAATCCATTATGTACTTATATCTTGTGCAGAATTCTAATTCCCCCATCCTCAAAAGGGTAATGAAGGTTGAAAATATGCAGAGAAGAAAAGCGAGGATGATCGATATAAGTAATGACTTCATTGCAGAGAATGATCTTTAAGGATTAAAATTCTTTAATCTGAAAACACAGTAATTAAGGGAGAAGTGTGATAGAGATGTGTGAAGTGATAGGTGTCCTGAAGAGGTACTGATTCTTCATTGTGAAAGGGGGAGTGGTGCCTACTGTGTGATGTGTCTGATTTTGCAGGTGGTTGAAAAGCTGATCCGAGGGTTGGCAATGGAGGACAGCCGGAATATGTTTGCACTCTTTGAACATAATCAACATGTTGACCGTGCTGTGGAGAGTCGGGTGATAGTGGCTGATATCTTGGCCAAGTTTGAGAGGTAAAAGAAAGTTTCATGAAACCTTCAATTTCTATATGGATGTAACACTGGATTTCAGAATCTAGGGTTACCTTCAGATTGTGATTTGCACTGGGGACATTCCAGTACCATGATAGTTCTCCTTACTGTTTTTTCCCTTCCCATTCTCTTTTATATTTTACAGACTTGCTGGCTCTGAAGAAGAAGAGGAGGAAGGACAGTGGCAACTGTATTTTAAGCTTTATTGCTTCTTGGATATTGAGAATGTTCCCAAAGATGGTGTGGAATTTGCCTTCATGTTTGAACAGGTAAGCTAACTCTGGAAGAATAATTTGGTTTCCTGGGTGGCAAAAGCACACAAAAGGATACAGAAAACTGCTTTAACTTTCATTAGAAGTAGGAATGCTGGTTGTAGCAGAAGAATTTAGTGTGTTGGATTTTTGCCCAGAATCTACTAAGCAGATAGACTGTGACGTTTTCTAGGGAAGATGAGTATTATAGAAAAAACAAGAAAAATTAGTAAAGGCTTAAAAAAAAATAAATATTAATGATAATTATTTTTTTTTAACTTGGTCTTCAATTTTAGAAGGCAGAGAAATTTGGGTAATGATTCAAGAGAATCATTAAACATAGCTGTTTGCAGAACATAAATGTAAAGAAAACTGGAAAATCCACCTACCTGCACATCAGCTTGAAAGAACAGCACATCCTTGGAGTGTTACCAGAACTATGAAACGTCTTTTGGGCGATTTCTTTTGGTTAACAGAGAAGCGCTAGAAGAGTGCTGCAGACAAAGGAAAGGAGAATGTAGTTGACAATATTTACCTGCTAAGTAGTCTGTTATTTTTTTAAGTCACTGTACTCCATAGCACAATGATGCTGGCAAGATCAGAGATCACACTGGTATGAAAGAGCCTCGCGGCTGGGATGTGAAACTAAACCGACTGGAGCACCCAGCTGTGTGATTCCTCCTGTCTCTATTACTTCTAACAAACACTGACCTTGCCTCAGAATATCATAGCTGTAGAAAATTACTGGATCTGTGTTTATGGCAGTCAGAGTCATGAAGACTGAAACTCACTGGAAGTCAAATGCATGGCATGTACATGACTCAGACAATGGTTCCTTGCTTGAAATGAACATCACGTGTTGTTAGCTAGGGAATGTCTAGAAGAGTCAGGAGCACATGGTGCTCCATGGAGCCTCAGTTGTACCAAACTCTCTGTTGACAAGGTTTTCAGTCTGCACAGCTTTAACTGGCAAAGAGAAGTAACAGTAGGAGAGTAGGTGTTACCCAGACATTGGATGGATGTGCAGAAAGCCCCATTAATAGATTTCACAGAAAAACAGGCAAAGGGAAGCAAGAAGATTGGTGGAAACATCAGGTGAAGTAGGAAGAGGTGGGAGGTGTTTTTGTGTAAAGAAACTGAGGTTGAGAATTGGTGTTTTGAATATAATCTTCACACAGGAGCTGTAGCTTGTGCAGCACAAAACCAAATTGCTTGAATTCTGCTCTCTCACATCTCTCCTAGACCTAGAAGGTCCTCATTGTAGGACTTCCTGTACAGGATAGGAGCCCCTCAGAATCTCTGTCCTGTTCAGACTTGCAGAAAGGGGTGTTCCCTCCATATCAACCACTTGCAGACTTTGACATATTTATTACAGTGTCTGCTCTGACCTCCTGAATTGTATCTATCCTGCTGGAATCCACAGATGTGACAGGAATCTGTACATGGACCCAGATGTCAATAAAGTGTGCTTTTGCTTTCTAATGAGTTTGGGGGACTTTTTGTTTGTAGGCTCACGAAAGCCTCATAGCTGGTCATTTTCCTGGGCCAGAGGACACTCTGCAGCGTCTGGCAGCTCTGCGGCTGCAGTATCTTCATGGAGATTATTCCAAAATAAGCTGGACCCTTGATGGAATCTACCCAGTTAACAGGCTGAAATCCAAAATACTGCACTCAACAAAGAGCAGCACCAGTACCAGTCACACTCTGGAGAGGAGACGGACCAGCTTCCTTGAAGGGACATTGAAGCGTAGCTTCAAGACAGGGTCTGTAAAGAAGCAGAAGGTAGAAGAGGAGCAGATGATGGAGATGTGGGTTAAAGAAGAGCTTTCAGCTGCTCGGGCAAGCATAGCACAGAAATGGACCAAGCTGCAGGGGCTTTCTCAGCATCAGGCCATGATGAAATACATGTCCATTGTGAAAGAGTGGCCAGGTTATGGGTCAACCCTCTTTGATGTTGAGGTGAGTGATAAATTCCTAAAACCACAGTTGGGAAGAGATACCAGTCTGGAGAACAGAGCTGTGTGTAACAGAAGGGAATTTTGGGAACTGGATACATTTTGCCTTAGTTGTCTCAGGGAAGACCTGCAGTACCACAATACCCAAGAGTTAATACAGAGAGCAGGCAAGGCAAGGCATCCTGGTAAATGAAGGAGACAATGGATTCCCACTTTGTTAGAATAATGGTGGAGTGGGGAGGAGAGAGGGGTTTAAGAGAGTGGTGGCTAGTGGAGGTCAAAGTAAAACAAAACTCTGGTGTTCTCACCTGCAAGAAATGCAATCCTGTTCTGCAGCAGTACAAGAGAAACTGCACAGACGGGGGAATGTGCAGCACTGTGCTCAGGCTGCTTGAGTAGGAGACCACAGTTCAGTTCTGTCAGTTTTGCTGCTGCCAAGGTTGACCACCATGGGAAGTTGCTGT